GGGTGAACTGAAATTCAGAGTATTGTGATTTGGTCAGATGTGAATAGAGAGAGAATTTCTCTTGACAATTTGTCAGTCTTCAATTTGTCAGGGTTCAAACTGACACCCCCTGCCCCCCCAACCCAGGAAAAAGAGGGGCTCATTTTGCACTATTGAGGCTGATGACAGGTTTGCCAGAACTACAGCAGCCTCTCTCCCTTTTTGCTTCCCTCTTTTTCTGGATTGAGTTAAAAGAGATTTAAATGGTGACGTCCTATGAAATCACGCTTAGTTCTTGCTGAGGATCTGTGCCCCACCGGCTCCTTCAGGCGTCCCCCCCCCCCCCCCAGAGCCCTCCCTCCCACGCTTCCCAGCCCCTGAGCAACGAAGGGGGGCTCAGACGGCCACGGGGCCAGCAGCCGTATCGTCGGTGGCTGCGTCCAGGCAGTCCTGCGGGATTGCGGCCTGATCCAAGGCAGCTGAGGATGCGCCCGCCTTCTCTCCCGCAGGCTACCAACTGTGCGACAACAGCGTTGGGGTCCTTTTCAACGACTCGACTCGCCTCATCATGTACAGCGACGGAGACAAACTGCAATACATTGACCAGAGCGGCTCTGAGCTGTATTTTGACGTCCTCTCGTACCCAGATACTTTCAGCAAGAAGGTGGGAGAGAGGGAAGGGGGGGCTGCTCCACCCTTGCCTCAGTTTCCCCTTCTGTCTCTGATGGGCCGGAGGGGAGGGGAGGGTCCCCTCCGTTGCAATCTCGAGTCTGTGCTTGAAGGGGCATCCTTACTTCCATCTGGACTGGAGGAAAAGCCGAGGTCCAGAGGGGGCAGCCGGGGGGGAGGGGGCAGGGTGTCGTCAAAAGGCTTGGTGGACAGATGCTCCCGTCCAAGGGATCGGCAGGGGCAGGGATCGGCAGGGGAGGGGGCTCCTGGCTTTTTCCTGGAAGGCGGCCTTTGGGGGAGGGGGGGGGCTTCTTGTGCGGTGGCTCAGCCCCTGCCCTGCCCTGCCCGGCTCACCTGCCCTGCTCCGCTTTCCCCAGATTAAACTGCTGGAGTATTTCCAGAACTACATGAGCGAGCACTTGCTGAAAGCCGGAGCCAACGTGACTCCCCGGGAAGGGGACGAGTTGGCACGGCTGCCCTACCTCTTGAACTGGTTTCGCACCCGCAGTGCCATCGTCCTGCACCTGAGCAATGGCACCGTGCAGGTGAACTTCTTCCAGGTGAGGCAGACCCCTCGGTGGGCAGGGGGGGCAGGTAGCAAAACGCTGGCCTTGCAGGGGCCCTGCTCAGACTGCAGGGCTTCAGTGGCGGAGGGGGGAGCCTGGAGCCCTTCTCCCTCCCCCCCCCAGGTGCTAGCGCTCTCTCTGGGGACACAGCAGCACTGACCCCCCCGTGTTCCCCCCCCTCCATCCCCAACATCCACCTGGCTTCCCTGGGAGGAAAGGAGGCAGACCAACGGCAGCCTTTCTGAATTGGCACTGGAGTTCTTGCCACCCCCAGTTCCTGGGGGCCTCCTAGCCGGGGGGCCCTTCTTAGAACGGGGGTGGGTGGGGGTGGGGCACAGGCTTTGCCACCAGGCACTGCTGCCCTCCTGGTGCTAAGCGAGCCCGGCCTGCTCTCCCTTCTCGGCCACAGGACCACACCAAGGTCATCCTCTGCCCCTTGATGGCCGCCGTCACCTACATCAACGAACGGCGCGAGTTCCACACCTACAAGCTGGCCCTGATCGAGGAGTTTGGCTGCTGCAAGGCGCTGGCCAGCCGCCTCCGTTACGCCCACACCATGGTGGAGAAGCTGCTGTGCTCTAAATCGGGGGCTGCCGCCACCGCCAAGGCGCCAAGCTAGAGCCGGGGGAGGCTCCGCTTGGCTCAGAACTGCGCGGCCCCTCCTGGAGGCCCCTCCTTGGCCAGGCCGCACGAGGCCCCCGGCTGCCTTAGGGGCCCCTTCGCCACAAAAGGACGAGAACTTAACAGGATGCCTTTCCTCCAGATTCTGATGATTTTCCCCCCTTTCCCTCTTCTGCCCCCCACTCAGACTAAACTGTTTTATACTCACTTTGAATAAAGCCTCTGGCCATTGCCTTTTGATTCGGATTTAAGCCGCTGTCTCTGGAGGGGAGTGCAGGCTCCTTGGCCAGGCGGCTGCGGGCCTGGCTTAGAGGCTGTGCGGCTCATTGAACCGGGCCTTGGCTTGCTCGGCCTTTGGTGGCCCTCCTCCAGCTGGGCCCCCCCCACAGCCGGCCAGCCCTGTGAAGAAGGGGGAGGGTCGGGCCGGGCAACCCTGCAATCAAGTTAGTTTGGGCTCAAGAGTCCTGAAGCCGGAGAACCACGAGTGTCCCTGGCTGAAGGAGCTCTGCCTCCATCCCAGCCCACCAGATCCCTGCACTGACATTGCCCAGGCAGTGTGAGTTGAGGAGACGAGGGGGAGCGGCTCTGGTCACCCCCCCACCCACCCAGGCCAGGTCTTCGGGGGGGGGGTGTCACGGTTCTGAGATCCAGCAATGTGGGCTCCCTGGCCTGGAGGGTTTGCGCCCGAAGCCCCTACAAGCGGTGAAGAGCAGCCTGCAACCGAGCTTCCCCAGGGAGATCCTGGGTCATTGGAGGTTTGGTGCACCCACAGGAGAGAGACCCCCAAATGATGGAAAGGGGCTTGACGAGGACTGTCAAACGCAGGATGGGTGGAGGGCTCAGGCAGAGGGGGCCCTTGGTTATGCACTCCCCACCTCAAGGCATCGTGCGTGTCCACTGCTTGGACAGGGAGGAGCTGGCTGCACCAGTCCCTGCCCCACGCAGTGCTGTGGCCTGCAGTTCCCTGGACCATTGCCAGCCCTGACAAGCATTTAAGGTCACTTCCCGGTTGAGCCCCTGATCGGTTGAGGAAACTCACCTTCCCATCCATTCATTCATTCTTGCTACCTTTATTGTTGTACAATGAGATTGGCTGAGCCTCCCTTCGTGTGCACACCCCAGCGCAACTGACCGTGAGGAGAGAAGTCCCTAATCCAGTCCCAATCTCATTACACTAAGTGACCTTGTTGCACAATGCGCCAGCCCCGCAAGTCTATCGTACTATGTTGACATGGAGTTATTTTCTGTAGGTAGAAACTGAGCCTGTTGGTGCGGCTGGCTGTGCTTCTCTTATCTCCTTCCCAACTGTAGGAGAGTGAGGAAGTGCTGACCAGGGTGTGAGTCCCTGAGGATTTTCCTCGCTCTCCTAAGGCAGTGAGCCCTAGCAAGGTCATCTAGTGGTATCAAGGGACAGCCCACGATGTTTTGTGCTGTGCTCACCACCCTCTGTAATGTCTGTCTATCCATGGCTGTCAAGCCAGCATACCACACCGTCATGCAATGTGGGAGGACGCTTTCTATGGTGGATCAGTCATCGTTCCACTTTATTCTTTCTCAAGACCCTGAGAAAATGGAGTCCCTGTTGGGCCTTTCTGGCCACCTGGGTTGCGTTGTCTTTCCAGGTAAGACCTTCACTGAGGTAGACTCCCAGGAATTTAAAGGACGAAAATGGCAGGGGGGGGCATGTTTGAAGGGATGCCCCCCCCTCCCAGTGATGGGAGCGCCAAACTTACCTGTCCTCACAATTGGAACCCAGAGCCTGACAGGAATATTTTGACCTATTTTGTGAAGGATCAGACGATGGGATGTATGTTCCTTAAGCAGCCTTGCTCCTTCCTGTCTTCTCTACAGAAGGACTGGGGGGTCGTGTGTGTGTGTGTGTGTGTGTTGCCTCAGACAAAGTTAAAACTGCTTTTCTCCGCGGAAGGAGCGGGGGGGGGGTTGCAGGGAGTGGGGGTGCTGCTTTGAGTGGCTCTGCAATTGGAAAGGGGTTGGAACCGCACATTCTTAGTAAGGGAGAGGTTAACACCTTAAACCACTAGCCAGGATATTAGGGACGAGAATAGCTGGCTTATAAGGAACCCCCCAAACCACGTGGCTGGCACATGAAACCAGGACACTGCGAGGTATCCGTGACCTGGGGTGAAAAACAGATGACACGCTATTTAGCTACATACGGGGCTGAGATCCAAATAACCAAGCAATACGATCTGTTATGCATGCAGATCATTACGGGAAGAGCAAAGGGCTGAATGTGAGCAGCCCTGGACTATAAAAATTGCTGTAAGAAGTTCTAATTGGGGCCCTGGGTCAGCTTTTGAGCCCTCGGGGTCTTCTATCTTGGTACCAAAATAAAAGTATATTGTATCACACATTGTGTCTTGTGATTTATTGGCTTCAACACCAAGCAAGAGCCAGTTTTGGGGACGACAACATCAAGCTGTCTCCTTTCCACAATCCATTAAAATTATCTGATTTTAAAAAAATAACAGTCTGACACCGCTGTTCACGTTCAAGTTTGGTCTAATTCTGTCTAGTACGTCACATGGTGGCTAAAGTAAGGCCGTGCTTGGACTTCTGTGTAAGTGCAGGGAATTGAAAGGCAGTTATGACACGTCACCTCACATCTGATTCCCCCAAATTTCCTTCTCAGCGCAACTGTCAGGTTCCAAGTAATAAAGGCTGACCACACCTTTGGCTGACGGGGAGCCCCTGCCCGGCCATCCCTCCCTCCCTCCCTCCCTCCCCTCCCGCTGCCGAACAGCCCGGATCCTTCCTGGCTGCAGAAAATGCCCCCCTTCCTGATGCCCCCCATCCAGCACATCCGGCGTCCTGCTTGCTTCCTTCCTTTCTAGATGCCGCTTTATACAGAAGACTTTTTTTAAACAACCGATTTACAGCTTTCTGCTACTAAGCCCCTCCCACTCCAGAAGGTTTCCAAGGCAACGGGAGATGCTTCCACATTCATGATGAGCCTGGGAATAAAATGCCACGGGGCAGGGGATGGAGGAGGGGCGGGTGGCAGAGCCCAGCTGGCTGCCTTTAGAGGAGAATCCCTTCTCTACAATGTCCACAGCCGGCTCAACACAAGGTTGCTGGTTACGCAAGGCACCACAGTGCATCAGCGGTGCAGCCCACAGGGCCAGCAGATCCTCAGGGGAAGCCCCCCCACCTACCCCGCCCCTCCCGCTCCTCCTCTGCCTGAGGCCTCCCGGAAGCCCCAGGGATTAGCTTGGGCCCCGCACGAACACCTCTCCCCAGGGAGCAGACGGGGCGTGGATGCCCTGTGCTGGTTGGCCCCTCCAGAGCAGGGCAGGCAGGCTGACAGGTGTCGGAAGGCGGGGGCTGGCGAGCGTCCTTTCTTGTGGCAAGGTGCTCACTCCCCCTGGCAGTAGTATCTCTGGAAGAGCCGCTCGGCAGCGCACAGGCGCATGGCCCGGTGAGTGTGCAGCAGCAGGCAGGGAAAACGGTCCAGGAAGTACTGGACGAATCCGTGGGGGAGGCTGCCCAGGGCCTCCTGGACGTTGCTGGGCAGTTCGTAGTAGTGATGCTTCTGAAGGAGGAAGAGACCGGATGCCAGGGCCCCCCAGGGACTCAGAGACAGAAGGGGGACAGGAGGGAATGTGCCAGTCAGGGGCCCCTCAGCCGCAGAGGGCCTGGCATCCCCCAAAGAGCCCAGCCGGGGTTGGCACAGTACCTTGTTCCTCATGGCGCGCAGCAGGTCACGGACGGAGGTGCCCTGGTATCTCCGGAACTTCCTGAGGTCTGCCAGGGGGGAGGGAGGGAGGGTCAGCAGGGCTCCTGCAGTGCTTTCCCTCCCCCAGGCCACAAAGCCGCCCTGAGAAGGTGACCACCTACCTGCCTGCAGTGGGGCAGAAAGGCGCAGCTGCCAGTTCCCGCGCCCCACCGCCAGGCTCCCGGCCTCCAGGGTGCTGACCAGGGGCCCGTCTGCCGGCTCCTTTTCAAGGCGGTCACTGACGTCCTGCAGATGGGAGAGAGCGTGGGCAGTTGGGCCGAGTGCGACTGCCAAAGGAGTTTCCACCTCCCAGGACTCACCTGGAAGAACTGCAGCTGCTTCTCAGGGCCCCAGAAGAAGGGGTGCTGGAGCACCTGTGCGGCCGAGGGGCGCAGGCGGGGGTCACTGCTGATCATGGCTTCTATCAGGTCCCGCCCTACTAGGTGGCCTGAGAGAGCAAGCAGGCAGGGACCTTCAGTAGGCTGTCCAAGGGTCTGCCACTGGTCCGAGAGCAATTTGTCACTACCCTTACCAGACCCCCTGCAAGGTAGGCCAGCATAGCAGCAGGGTGAAGCCGAGGGGAAAGGGCTCGGCCATGGCTGAGTAAGAGATGAGCAAGGAGCTCCAGGGAGGCACGGAGTCACCCCAAGTCCTGCCAGCCGAGAGAGGCTTAGTGGAGCTGGTTGGAGACCCAAAGGAGGCAGGGTGGAAGGAAGGGGCCTTCCCCACAGGGCCAAAGCATCCCACGGCACCCTACTTACTGTGAGTGTCCTGCTGGAGCTTCAGTAGTTGGTAGGTGCCCGCCAGAATATTGGCCTGGCGATGGAAGCTGTGCCCAAAGGGATGCTGCCCGCGGGACAGGACGTAGTAGAAGATGCAGCCGGCGGAGAAGATGTCCACCCCGCAGGTCTGTGAAGAGAGCAGGAAGCCATGGCCCGATGCTGGCGCTTCCATGAGTCTTGGATGGCTCAAGGTTAGATTTCTATCCTGCCTTTTCCCCGGCTCTCTATTTCCCCTGGGGTGGCACCCTGGGAGGAGGGCAGGGCAGGGTGAGGTCCCCAGAGTCCCCAGGGAACTGGGACTCCCCGCCCCGGGAGCCCAAAGGCAGGGCGGTCAGCTGTACTCACTGGGCTCTCCTGTGCGTCCTCCCTGAGCATCTCGGGCGCAATCCACCCCTCCGTGCCAGGGATGCCCGAGCCGAGGCTGAAGCTCTGATGCCCCCTCTGCAGCTTCTTGCACAGGCCAAAGTCGGAGATGACCGCTCGGACCCTCCCTTGCCCGTCGGGGGCCGAGATCAGGATGTTGCAGGGCTTCAGGTCACGATGAGCTGGAAGGAAAAGGTGCTCAGCACAAGCCCAGCCTCCGTTTCAAGGGGAGGGGGAGGCCATGGCCCCTTGCTGCAGGGGGAGGGTCTCACCTATGCTGAGCGAGTGCAGATGGGCCAGTCCGGACATGGTCTGGGTCAGCAGGGAGAGCGCATCCATGCCCTTTCCCGGGAAGACGGAGCTCTCCACATACTGGTGGGGGAGAAAGGGGAGAGGGCAGCGCAATCCTTGCCAGGAGACACCCCCCCCTCCCACATCAAGCCTGTCTCCCCCTCCCCCCCTCCCCCACCCCCCAGCTATGCAGCCTTCAAGCCCACTTCAGTAGATGGGCCCCTTTTGGACGATCGGTTCACAAGCGTTTGGGAGGAGATACTTCCAAACCACACTTGGTGTACTTAAGCAAAAGTTAATTCTAGCCCTCATCCAGACACACTTGGATTTCCCGTCATTTCCAAACATTTGGACAGATGTAAGTCGGGGTCTCCATGTTCAGAACGGAAAGTTCCCAGCTCAGGATGGCTTCCCAAGGGCAAGAAACCCAGGCAGAACATCTGAACATCTGGAGCCAGATGGGGCCAGCAGGCTGGAGGGAAGTGGTGTGGTTCGCCAGCAGCCTGTGCAGATGGCAGCGGAATCGGACAGTGGGGAAGAACGGGGACCAGTCCAGGAGTCTGGGGTAGACTCAGATGAGGGTCCGGTGCCTGATGCAGAGATGGGGCCAGGACCATCTGGGAGTGGGGTGCTGACTCCGGAGCCTCCAGAGTCTGGTAGCAGTGAGGCAGAGGAGCAAGGGGAGCCTGTTCCCAGTGTGCGTGTGCGCAGAGCTGTCAGAAGGCGAGAGCAGCTGAGACAAAAGGGGCGACTCAGCAGTAAGGCTTGGAGGTGATTGCCCCTCCCATAAGATATAATGGAGGTGCAAAGGGACAGGAACCCTTGCAGGAAGCAACGTTGTTCATTCTGATCAGTTTGGAACCTGAACGCTCCGTGGTTAATTTGTGTTCCGTTTGGTTTTGAAAGACTAATTGTGACTTTAGTCGTTGGCAGCACTTCAAGTAAGATAAAGGTGCGTTCTTATCAGACTCCTGAAGAAATTTGGCAGACTTCCATGGGACTATTTGAACCAGTTGAGACTCATTACTGGCTGTGAATGCCGATAATTCACAGCCCTTGAACTAAAATAAAAGAGTTTTGGATTTAATGTGTGTTTGTGGGTGTCTCAGGAAGCCTTGGTCAGAACAGGAAGCCGCGCCGTTTCACATGATAGGTTTATGGAGTGCAGCACATCGGACATGAGCACTGTTTGGGGCAGGTTAATGTTTTCCTCTTTGGAACAAAATGATGGCAGGGAGGCTGGGGGGGGGGCGGAGGGGGGGTCCCAGCAGGCCCATCTCCTCACCTGCTGCAGGGTGGCAGAGCACAGCTCCAGGGCGATGTAGTGGAACTGCCCATCGGCCTCTGTGCAGAAATAGCGCACCACATTGGGATGCGCGTCCGATTCTCGCAGCAGCTGCACCTCCCGGTCCACCAAGCGGACGCTTTCCGGAAGCAAACGCTTCACAGCCACGTCGCGCCCATCGAAGTGGCCTCTGCAGAAGGAAGCCGCCCGGGTGAGGCGATAGGGAGGAATGGCTTCTCCTCTGTGCCCAGAATGCCCACCTCCCCTCCTCCCAGCAAAGCCCCCGCTCTGCCTCTGCTCTCTCAGGAAGCGTCAAAGGCTGACTGGGTCACCTGTGAGGATGCCCAGCACTTCCAAGGGCCAAGGTTGGCTCTGAGCAACACAGGACCCTCAGCCTGCAGGGAAGCCCCTCGGTTGGATTTCAGGGCTCGGCGTGTGCTTCAGGGACAGCCCCCCACCCCCCCAGTTGTTCATCAGCTCCAACTCACCGGAACACAAAGGTGCCCCCGGCCCCCCGGCCCAGCACCTCCTGGGGTCTGAAGGAGAGCTTCCCCACAGTGACCACTTCTGGGGAGAGCGAGAGAAGAGGGGGAGAGAGCAGAGGAACAGGCTCCGCCCCCCCCCCGAAGAAGTCACCCTAGTGGCCCCTTCGACACCCCCTCCCCCTCCACGCTAGCTGGGCAGGTACCCACCTGGATCAGGGCTCTGGAGGGGGGCTTCATCCGCTGAGGCGGAGGGGGCGGGCAGCTCTGCCCCCTGGTGCAGCTCCAGGGACCCTTCAGGCGTCGTCCTTGGGAACTGGGGAGAGGCTGCAGGCGGCGGCTGGCTGGAGTTGCGCTCAAGAGGAGCCCTCTGGGAAAGCGGCAGCAGGAACGGAAGGGGAAGAGACCATCTGCCTTTACTGCTGGGGGGGCATCATCAGGCCAGGGGCAGGACTGCCTACATCCTGGTGGAGACCCCTCCCCAATAGTGGCCATGAAAGGTGCCTCCTCTAGCCGCTGGCAGGGACCGACGGGAGCCTCTCCTGGCCTTGGTCCCGGGGCCCCTGCAACCCCCCCCTCCCAAGCGCAGAAAGCCTGAAGGCGGCCAAGGGAAGCCCACTCACCCAGAGCAGGAGGCAGAGGAGCCCCCCGCCCCAACAGATGGAAGCCACGCCCACCACCACGAGCTCCCAGCTGCCAAACGAGGGATCCACTTCCACTGGGGCCTCCTTCCCGGCATGATCCCCGCAGGGCCGACCCTCAGCCAGATCCTCCTGCGGGCCCTCGGGGGTCAGGAACTGAAACAGACCAGGAAGCTCTTGGCAAGGATGGAGGACAGGGGGGGGGGCTGGAAATGGGGCGGGGGTGGGATTCAAAGGTCTTTACTACCGCTTCTGTGGGCGTGGCTTGGTGGGCGTGGCAGGGGAAGGAGACTGTAAAATCTCCAGTCAGAGGTGGGATTGGCCGCTTCTCCGAACTACTCAAAATTTCCGCTACCGGTTCTCCAGAACTGGTCAGAACCTGCTGAAGGCCCACCTCTGAAATGGGGCCAGCCGGGCCGGCTCTTTTGCCCCAGATGCTGCCTGCAATGGGGAAGGGGAGCAAGCGCGCCCCCTGCATGCGCCTCTTGCTCCCTCACACCCCCCGCACATTCCCACCTCCGCTTGTGACTGTTGGGGTGTTTGCAAGGAAAGCCTGGAGGACACCCGGGCTGAATCGCTCGCTCTGCGCCTTCTGACCATGACCCTGGGTGAAGCAGCCCGGAGCGCCAGGTGCCAGGCTGGGCCTCCCTCTTCTCTTAGAAGGCCATCCTCACCCAGACTGGAGGAATCGGCCCTGCAGCCCTTCCCCTCCCCACCACATCAGCCCTCCCCCACTTGCCCCGTACCTCTCCGAAGAGGCTGTGAGCACGGGAGCTGTGTGGTGCGGCAACCTCTGGGTTCCTCCGCAGGCTGCTGGGAGGGGCCCTCAGCATGGTGGTGTGGACTAGCGGGGGCATCTCATGATGACCTGGAAGGAAGCGGGGAGCCTAGAGTCCCCCTGCTGAGATGGGGGCCCTCACCAAGGGGAGCACCCCATGGCTGAGCTCAGCCCGTCTGCGTTGCCTCCCTTCCGAAGCTTCAGTCCTGCTGACTCTAAGTTCTTTTCTTCAATCCCAGCCATCCTCTCTGCCCATTCCCAATGCTGATCGTCAGGGACCTTCAGGTTCCCCCAAATTCCCCCCCCACACACACACACTTCCCTTCCTGGACCTCAGAGACTTTGCCCTCACCCCTTGCAAAGGCACCACCCCACCCAGGGATCAGTGGGAAGGGGGGGGGGTTCAGCCATGCCTGCCAGTATGTACACATATGTACATGTTGCACCTTATGATTCTTGACAAATGTATCTTTTCTTTTTATGTCCACTGAGAGCATTTGCACCAAAGACAAATTCCTTGGCTCATAAAGAATTCACCCATCCATCCATCCATTCATCCACCCATCCATTCATTCATCTGTCCATTCGTCCATTCATTCATCCATCCACCCATCCACTCACTCATCCATCCATTCATCCATCCATCCATCTATTCATCCATTCATCTATTCATCCACCCATTCATCCATTCATCCATCCATCCATTCATCCACCCATCCACTCATTCATCCATCCATCCATCCATTCA